GGTGGGGGGGGGGACTGATGAGGTCGTCATGGCAACCCCACATTGGCATGCCCCTGATTGGAGTATGTGGTGGCTAATTATTCAGTGCATATGCTTAAAAAAAAACAATAAAGTAGGACGTATTGAAATGCAGAGCCGAGCATCGCGTTGTGTGTGATTAACATATGAGCCCAGCGCCGCTTTTGAAGAGAGCAGCCTCGTTTCCAGCACTTAGTGTATAGCCAACATGCGATTTTAGTGATGCAGTGGTGATGTTTTTAGTAACATTTGATCCGTATGTTTAATTTTTTTTTCAGTTTATGTTAAAAAAAAATCACATCTGCAGTCATTTAATCGTTAACTTTGGTGACCCTTCTTCATCTTATTGGATAGCGGCATCTAAACAAATGCACGGGAAGGTTAATACTTGTGTATGATGTGATGATCAAGCCAAACTTTACATTGAGGCTGAAACAAACAAACAAACAAGAACAGCATGCTAATGGCCCTTTGAGCGCTGGCATGGCAGGCGCAGTATATATGTGTGTGTGTGTGTCAGAGGCAATGGGGATGGAGGGTTTGCTGTGTGAAAGAAACCAAAAGGGTATGGGTTTGTAGGAGGGGGGTTACGGTAACAATGGCCGGCATTGTTTACCAATCTCCCTCGTCCATTAATCAGGACGATCCGGCTCTAATTGGCGTTTTGGTTAAGCTGGTCTCCAGACCCCCGTTCCCTCCACTGGCCTAAATAATGGCGTTACGCCACAAGTGCCGCCACACATTGGGGAGGACAATGTGTCGCTTGTCTGAGAGCCCAGGATAGGATCCCCACCCTCTTCTCTTCCCCTCCTTTCTTCGTGCCCCCTGCGCCCCCCAAAATAAACCTTACATAGAAACACAAAGAAGGCCTCTCACTATTGAGATCTCACTGTCGCAGTCTCCCCTCTCCCTGTCTGTCTGCCCCCCCACACCCAATCCGACTTCACTCCCCCCTCCTCTGATTTTTTTTCTCACCCACTACAGTTTTCAACATATAGGAGCTTTATTCTTTCCTGCCAGCTTTAGCTTTAGAGTTGTGGGCTCAGTGATCAGGTAGAAAAACCACATGGGAGGCAATGATTTAAATTCCTGTTAAACTATTTGAATGAATTTACACTGTCCTGTGAACTCCTCTTGACTCCAAATTAAGGGATTGTTCACATGTTCACACTTCAGTATGTGACCTCTTTAGACGCAAATACTGGTGATCAAAGCATACTTGCAAACCCCCCAAAAAAGTAAAACATAAGACTAACATTGCATAATCTTACTCAAAAGCACCACATTTTGATGCAAATTCGAGGTAATTAAGTGTGTTTTTTAATAAAATCTCAAATGCTAGAGCTCCCTTCCTTTTTAGAAATCAGTGTAAGTTAATTAAATTGTCAGATAATTCATGTGGCTACACACCAGCTCATGGATTGTATGCTCGTAATGCTAAAAATAAATAACAAGCCAGAGGAGCTAATATGAACGTAATCTGAGAGCTTCATTTGCGAGCAACAAATGAACAAAACAGAGGTGATATTTTGGGTTATTTATGTCCGTTATTTAGGTTAATTTGCATGTTTCTTCAAAAAATCGGTGCAGCAACACCATTTCTTTGTCAGGCTTTCACACCACAGGGGTTAACTGCTTGTCTGAAGGTTGAGATATTTCTCAGATCCTGTCAAAACCCAATGGTTGGCATCATAATGCATCTTCGTGAAGCCAGAAAAGACAGCATGACCTTTCATCAAATCCGGACAAATTGCGACGTGACGTGTCGTTTAAGGGTTTGAGGTCTTAATTTCCACAAGGAGCGTGCTTTCGTCTGCGAGCCAAATAGGAAACGTGCTGCACATGTGTGAAAACTGTTAAGTGTGAGATTTATGAAGAATGCTGTGTTGCTAATTATGGCTCCTCGAGGGTGTGAGGGAGCATGTAGGTGTTTTTTGTTTTTTTTTCTTCTTCTTCACATCATCAAATTAAGCTGTCTGCACGTGCACGCGGCACAAAAACCACGTGGATGTTCCACATGCAGAAATACCACCACTGGTGCAAATGATAACTCTTTGTAATCACAAAAAAAAAAGGCGCTGGTATAATTTAATGTTGCCGAAGCAAAGCAATCCTAAGAGTTTTCCGCAAAATGGTCGGTCTGCAGCGTGACGACGGGCACAGCGAAAAAGCGACGCGGGAACCGCAGCTGCCCCTAAAAATGCCATCTTGTCGACACTCAAAAGCCACGGGCAGCGCGCTTTCCTCCTATCTCATCCCTTCCTGCATGTCTCTTGGGGCGATCTCTACAATTAACACACTGGCAGTAATTAACACTGTCTTGAGGCGACCAATGGCGCGGAAACGATCGGGACCAACATGAAGTGGGGGGAAGGTGCAGCGCTGGCTGTTCACCGCTCAGCTGCCATTTTGTGCCAGTCTTAACACCTAAGATGGTGGCAGGACTGTGACTTGCCGTGTGGAAGAGGAGGACAAACTGGCACGGGAGGGGTCGGAGAAGAGGAGGATTATGGGATTGAAGAGGGAGTCTCTTATTTTCACTCTTGTAGTCGGTGCATTGCTGAACGGTTACCAAGAGAGGTAGGGAGGGAGAAAGAGGCATGATCGGCAGATAGCTGCCCTACACGCACCGCACATAGAGGAGCAATTCTGCCACACATGGACGCACAAAGACGCACACTCACATCACAGAGGAAGAATAAAGTGTTTGTACAGTGTGGACGCCAAACACAACACCCTGTGTTGGTCTGCTCGTTAAAGAAAAGAAAAAAAACGTGTCATTTACATGTGCTTAATATACACAGCACACATGTGCCCATGCATGAACACACACACACACACACACACAAACAACACAGCCGTTCTCATGGTATGGTCTGCCCCTGAGCATGCAAATGACATTCATTATGCAAATGCATACAAATCAGAACCAACCATCTGAGAATCGAAGCTGGGAAAAACCACAAAGAATAAAATTAAATGAGGGGGGGGGGGGAGTGGAGGGGTGCTGTTTTTGGGTGGGGGGGTTACAAAAGTAAGACGGAGCGTGGTGGTGAAAGTGGAGAAAGTACAGTGCGGTCAACCAAAAATAGACAATATAAGCTGCTTCATTAGGCCACAGATACCCAAAGCTGGATAAAAGTCGGTTTTCCGTGTGCAGATGCCAACGAACTCGTACATTTCAGGATCGGCTCAGTAAAGAGGATCTTCCCTAGCAGCCTCATGACTGCTGACGAGGCCCAGATAAACATGCTTTGTGCTTTGTTACATTAATGAAGTCGCGATGGAGCGTAAGAGGTTTGAGAGGAGATGCTGTACATGTGGCTTTAAAGATTTCTATTAAGTATTTCGACAGAGTTACACCAAAGGTGGGATGAGGCATGCGCACACATACACACACATCATCTTTCCTCACTGCCCCTCACTGCTGCCTTGTTTGTGACCATTTCTTTCCTTTAGCAGAAGATCAGCTGCAGAGTGGCATCAACTGGAGTGGAAATGATCCAAATGATGGCAAAGTGCCGCTAATTGCCTCTCAAGGTGGTCTTTGTTTTGTTTCACCTCTCTCGCCACAGCCGCTGCCTCTATAGGACGAGCTCTCTAAAACCCCAGAAGGGCTGCAATTACATTATCAGCCTTTATGAAATGAATCATCCAAACTATTAAAAAAGAGAAATGAAGCCAAACACTGATGAGTCTGAATCTCTCGGCTGGAGATTAGTTTCTGTATTCATGGTCAAAAAATACACGCTGAATAAATGAAAAAGGCCATTATGGGAGGGTGATTGGGAGATACCAACATGTTCTCCTCCCAGGGTGTCACATGCAGCTGGTGCTGCAGGGATCTAACCCAGCCTGGCAGGTGTGTGAATCAAACACCTCTACTATGACCACTGCGACAGAAACACCACATTTGTGCAGATTATCTGGTACAGCTGAGCAAACTCAGCTACCATAACTGAACAATTGTTTTTGTTTTAGGGTTTTTAAAAAGACTTATGGTCTAAAATGTGCTTATTTTTTTAAATAACTAGATTATTGAGCTAAATTGCTGAGTTTATTCTCACAGCCAAAAACCCTTAAAGCACCTGGCAAAGAAACTTGATTTCACAAGAAACTCGACTGGATCTGACTTCTGATCGAGTGGAGAAAAGAAGACAAAAATGCTGCTATATTACTGCGGACCCGTAATTAGCAGTTTGGGATTGGCCACAAAAAGATTTGAGATAATGAAGCTATCTGAAAAGGTGAAACTAACCCTGGAAAGTGGCTTGTCCTGAAGCGTCAGCATCAGCTGTTTGGAAAGAGTTTGCAAAACAATTTCTTGCAGAGACTCTGAATACATTTAAATTGATCTCAATCGCTTTGGACTTCCTAAAATTGAGGAACACCAATTAAGATCTTTTACTTTCCTAGAGGAAAAGTTCGTTATGGATGTAAATCTGTAAGATCGTTTTGCCAATTTTGGGGCTAATGAGTCATTTTACAGTTCACTGTGAATTCAAGTTCACATTTGGCAAGGACAAGAGAAACCTAAATGTTGCACTCACTCCTGAATGTCAGTCGGAGCTACAGAACGAGAATATCCACGCACTCACTCACCAACCAGCACGAGAACAAATGCAGCAGCACAGGCTACACCCACCACTGTACTATTGCAATGGTTTGTATTGACAACAAGCAGATCTCAGGCATTTTGTGCAAATCAAACACTTATTGTCTTTTTTGCCTCCAGATCCTCCATGAGACACAACACCCCCCTCACCCCCCCTTCTCGTTAGCCCTTATGTAACACAGCATCATACCTTCACGTCATCGCTTAGCAGGATCTTTTGTCCACCTCCCGTCCTCCCGTGCTGCTTCTTTATGTCTCATTTCTGTTGTTTCCTTTTTCCTGTGCAGGCGTGTAATGGGATTCTTGTTACTTTCGGTTATCTAGCTTTATGAAGAATGTACGTCACTCATACAGCTAGATAACCAAAGATAACAGACAACCCCTCAGGCCTGCGTACACCGCTCTCCTCCAGCAACGCTCAGACACACACACACACAACCTCTGATACACCTGTGAGGACAAACAGCGACAGGGGAAAATGCATTAAAGAGCTAATTCAGCAAGACAAAGCTAATTTCCTCCGCCTGCTGCACCGCACGCATTCCAGAGGTGGAAATAATGATAATAATAGTCATATATCTGGAGTGTTAATTGATCACATGGTGTTAAAAACACCTCAGTAAAACGATATGAAAAACAAAGCATGACTAAAGATTCACAGGGGATTCTGCTGGGAAAGCACATTTTCCGAGCTATTAAGTGTTTTTTATATGACTGAAATGTGAGCGTATTCTTTGAGGAATTCAACACAAAGCGTTACAGCCGGCCATCCAGTGAGCTAAAGACAACAACAGTAAAAGTCTTTACGAGGGGGACGGAAGCAGGATGTAAAAATACCCCTGAGGTGAGTCATACACACAAATATCTTTCATAGGGTCCTAAAGGGAAATCCAGAGAAAAATAAGCATATTTGTTTGTGTTACAGCAGGTAAACACAAAGGTGTGTAAAGTCTTACATGGAATTATTGTAATCCTTAAATTGGTATTCATTATTGTGAAAGAAAGCATTTTCAAGCTGGTGTTAAAATCGAAAACTGTGGCTGAACATTACTAAAATATTACTAATGCAAACTTCCACAGCCTTAAAATATTTCCTGGTGACTTTTGTTTAAAAGAAGTGAAAAATCACTTCAGTTTTATGTAAATATCTACAATCTACCAGCTATAGAACAAACAAACAAAAGCTTTACAAGAAGGTTAAAGGCTTAAAAAATATAAGGGAAAAAAAAATCTAAAGGCACTGTTGAATGTGTGGTTTTTATTTAATTATTATTTAGAACCATTAACATCAGACTCCACTTTTTTATTATTTAAAATAATAGAAGATACAGCCTGTGTGTGACATCCTCCACTGATTTATTTATTTATGGAGTTTTGCTGTCATCATTTTAATAATTACTCATTCCTATATTTCTAGATCATTTTGTGAAATAACAGAATAGTCACATAATTATCCAAATGCATAACATCGCATCTCTTTTTAACGTTACACTGTAAATTAAAAAAAGAAAAAAAGGTTTTCAATATTTTTTCATGAAGTCTTTGTTGTGTGTGGGGGGGTTTTTTTTATTGGCTTTTAGCGAGAAAGCGAGGATGACGTCACAGGCATCGCTGGCTTTCAATTAATGCGTTAGCAGCGAGGTGTGATGCCTAATTAACACACACGCGCGTACACACTCAGACACGCTATTATGGGGAAGATGTTCTTTGATGCAACATCGTGAAAATAGGCCACAGCTCCCGTCCTCACATCAGTGTCCGCAAAACACACAAAGAGCAGAGCAAACAGTGTGTTTGTTTGCCGGGTTTTTTTATTAAAATAAAAATAAACATGCTTTACGTTTTATTTTGCCCCTGCTCCAAGAGATTTCCGGTAAATGAAGAGATGTTTTGGGTTTTTGGGGGGGATTTTTTTTATTTTTCCAGGGGCATCCACTGGTGGAGATCATAGTGTGGAGGCCGTGACGTGTTAACATCACTTCGAGGTTCTCACACCTAAACAGCGTGGTTTTGTGATTGTTATTCATTTTCTCCCCCATCTGCTGTGTGTGTGTGTGTGTGTGTGTGTGTGTGTGTGTGTGTGTGTGTGTGTGTGTGTGTGTGTGTGTGTGTGTGAATAATCGTAATATTCCACTTCCTTGTTAGCTGCACTGTGTGTATGTCGGATTTCTGTCTGTAGTAACGCCTGTGACAAAATCATTTACCTGTCACCTGACAGAGAGGGAAAAAAAAATTTATTTTTATTTTTTTTTGATAAATAACTCTATTTTAAAATGTTAATATTTTCATTTCAAGTGTATTGTTTAGATTTCTATGTTAGGTGTTAATTAAAGATATCCACACATGGTTTATGATTTTAAACAGCTGGACAATAATTAACTTTTTTTAAATTATTTTAATTAAATATTTTAATCGGCTATATGTATTCATTTACTGTTTATGTAGGCAGCGCATGGGCTGATGCATCGTTTAAAGAGGCAAAAAGAGATAGTTTCATTCGAATAGGTTTTCTGTCCCTGAAGGGAAATTACACTGAAGTTTCTGTTAGAGGTAACTTGGCAGCGATGCTGTATAAAATGTTCTGCTTTAACAGATTTCTGGGACCATAAAAGGCTGTAAATGATGAAAATTTGTGCTTCCCTAAAGATTGTTTTTTGTTGTTGTTGTTGTTGTTGTTGTTTGTTGGTTTCTTTGGGGGGGGGGGGGGGGGGGTATTTCCAAGAGTCACCGCGTTGCTGCTGCTGCGGATCTTTCGTTTAGGTGTTGGTGAAGAAGATAAACAGACGGGTTTTTTTTAACGTTTTTCCTAAACTGCAATCCAGTTTAAATCACCTGCAGAGTCATCGGGAAGTGAAGATGGTGGAATCATTTATATTCACCTGGAGGTTGGAGAAGAGCCTGGAGTTCCTTTCTGTTGTTTTTAAATGTGAGTTTCTGCAGAAAAAAATGTTAAAGAAAATCAGTTATTTGAATAAAACTACGACAAATGTAATAATAACGGACTGACTTTGAACTCAATTCCACCACGTGAATGGGATCCCTCTCCTCACTCTGTCGTTGGAAAATCCCTGGAAAGCACCCTGGGTGGGAAATCTGCCTACTCGGCTCCTGACAGCTACAAACTGGGCCTGTGTGTGTGTGTGTGTGTGTGTGTGTGTGTGTGTGTGTGTGTGTGTGTGTGTGTGTGTGTGTGTGTGTGTGGTGCGCAGTCATTCAGCCGCACCTGCAGCTTAACTGACTCTGCACCGGCAACGCTCCTGAGGTGTTGCAGCGGTCCCACTTCAAATTAGCAACTTATCCACTTGTGCATCAGCTGACTTCTCACTTGTGATGCACTTCCGTCACCGGGACACGGCGTGAATGTAACCTGTGGGAGGAGGTCAGTGAACGCTTGATCGTGCACCTGGATTCACCTGTTCAGTTTAACTGCTGAGTCATATTGACACCTATATGCCGGTTCCTGTTTCTTATGTTGCAGGACCACCATCACTACCACCTGGTCCTTTGCTGTACATGTGCACATGTAAATTGTGCTGTTCTGGGGTTCAGTAATGAAGAAGACAGCAAATGGATCCTTTGCACGTGTTTCTTTTGCAATCAGAACAGTTTTTATTGAAGAGAGGATCTAGAATGAGCTCCAAATGAGGGAGCATCTTTTTGGAGGAGCTGCGCGTAACATTTCAATGTCAGTCAGATGTTAAAAAGTCCAAACACACACATGAAGTCTGATTCCCTCTCACACAGATTAAGCGGGCCTTATGTAAGAGCTCTCCGGGCATAGCGCTATGCTGGCACCGGGGTGTATAATCCCGGGCTACATGAAGCCCTGCAGGAGCGCTGCTGGGTTCACGTACAGTAATCACCTTGGCCTTTTTTCATGCTTGCTTCACTGCTTAGCCTTTCCAGTGCGTAATCGGCTGACAGCAAACAGGCCAAACAACACAAGGCTGCAAAAGGCTATGGCGCCCGAGGCCACTCCAACACCATCACCAACACAGGCCGGTGTTAGGCTCTCACTACCACATTATGATTACATATTAGATCAGTTAGAGGAGAACTTATGTTCCTCCAGTATGTGAACTCTTGAAAATGACGCAACGTGAACTTATGCACAATAACAACACAGCATATGGTTGGTCCAAGGTCGGCATCAACGGAAAAACGGAATAGTCCAAAAAGTAAATTCAATGTTGCTTCGTTTGCGTCAGTAAACACCAACCCACTGCTACCAAAGAGTCACCTTTTAGACAAAGGTGGGCTAAACAGAGGGAGGGGAGAGGAAAAAGGGGATCTCAGTGACCATTAATCCCGAGCGTGCAACATAAAATTTTATACCAACAAACGAGAGAGAAAACTTATCGAAAACAGATCACCTGTGACCAACCGTAAGTCAAGAAAAACCCGCTAAACTCACTCCTGCGGTCAGATTTGTGCACATGTGCTTTCTGGTGCCAAACAAAAGTGTTTGCAGCCACAAGTGAAACTACACGTCTGCGCTGCTGCCATCGTACCATCGTTGGAGCCTTTATCTCAGATGCTGATGCGCATCGTCCGCGCATCTTTTATCTTTTATCTATCAAAAACAAGCCTCACTTGAAGAAAATCTCAAAGCTTTGCTGCGCCTTACGAGTCCTCACTTCATGCACAATGGGGACAAACACATCAGCATGTTGTACCCTTAAAGCCCTCAGTGCTGCTCGGCTCCTGCAGCTTTCTGTTTTTTTTTTAACCCCGAGTCGTGCCGTCACACACACACACACACAAATCACTTATTACACAAAACACGGTTCTTACTTTCTCCTACACGGGTGCAGCAGGGTGTGCTGCACTGGGTTCAGCTGAGCTCCTGGAAAGCGCTGGTCTCTCCGGACGTGCGGCATGCTGGGAGCCAAATGAGCGCGTTCATGAGCGGCGTACAGAGCTTTGTGGCGACGACGCATCGTGACGTCCCACCGGCCCCGTCCATTTTTAAAAATTTTACGGGTCCTCTTTATTTTTTTCTCTCCACTCACATGTCGTCAGACGGCTTCCCTCTACATCCACAGCCCCGGTCCTCCCCGCGGCACACGGGGGAGTTGGGGCTGTCCGCCAGGATGGCTACATCTCCAGCACCGTTGTCTCCAAGTGGTTTAACATCTCATTTGTCCAAAATCATATACGCTGTCCAAGGCCCACCCCCTTGTGAATCAGTGAGGTAACACTGTTCCCACCCTCTGAGATTTTTGATATTATGCAAGACGGACGATGTAATTATCATGCGAACCTATAGGAGCGACTCTCACGCCCCCCAACAGACGCATGCAGAAGTGCATGGTGGCACATCACTCATCCATCAACCAAACATCCCTCTAATTCCTATAGTGTGTGTGTGTGTGTGTGTGTGCGTGTGTGTGTGTGTGTGTGTGTGTGTGTGTGTGTGTGTGTGTGTGTGTGTGTGTTATATGTGTTGATTCTTATTCTTGTAGCATCTCTCTGTATCTTTGCAATAGCATTATAAATAACTGCTATAAATTATAGCAGCACCACAGCTGACAGTCAAAGGAATGCAGTCCCCGTGTCCCCGTGTGTCCCTGTATTTTTATGTTCAGCATCCTGAGGATATTCCCACTATATTTAATATATTATTTGAGTCAGTGGGCCTAAACAGGAGCTTGTATCTACTTCTCAATAGCTGTAGCAGAAGCAAAAACATACTCTCCTGCACGGCTGAATATGGACATCATTTGAGCCTGCCTTGTTGCTTAGTGTTGAAATGTTTCAAAGGTGATGCTGTCTGCAGCTGAAACTTGTAGACAGACTTGAGAGGCGCTTCGGCTTGGCTAATTACCATGATAATCACGCCAGAAGTCTTTTGAATCCGTGAAAGACGAGAATCCTCTCAAACGTAATTGTATAGGATCTCAATATGTCTGTATGCACAGCCTAGACGTGCTCGACATTTGCATAAATGAAGCTAACCCAGCCATGTTGGTCTGTCTAGAACACACCAAGTGTGTAAACTCCATCTACCAAGTCCTTAATGAATCGCTGATAACGATTCTAGCTCTACTCTACACAACAAAGTGCTTCCATTCATGTTTTAATTAAAGGATACAATAAAATTTATTTTTGTGCTTTGTGGGACATTTTGATGAGAAGCCCGCTTGAAGCTCCTCTCCTTGCATGCTGCAGATACTCTGAGCACGCTGTTAGATTTGTAGTTTCATCACTGGAGGGTCAGAAGGGCTTCAGGTTACCCGGTTACCCGGTGAAGAGTTGAGGGATCCAGAGCAAATCCAGACACGTTTACTAAACTGAGAATAAAACAGAATTCAGGTTTATCCTCCAGCAACCAACAAGTTCTCTGCAGCGAGGAGAGGCGCGCTCACAGCCGCACCTGCGCGCGCCTCGTTGCCAGGAAACCAGTGTAAGCGCCGACGCGCTCTGAACCCCGAAAAGGCAGAAACGCGGATATTTTACTGTCCCGAAAGTCAACACCAGTGAGCTCACCAGTTGCTTACTAATGTGAATCCTGGCAACTGGGATGTGACTTAGTCCAAGTCAAGTCAGATTCAAGTCTCCTTAGAGAACATTAAAAGAGGACACATGTGTCTACTGTTCAACAGCTGATTGAAAGAAGGCGAAGGAACAAGCTGCAAAAAAGACACAAAAAATCATAAGGAGGAGAGGGAAGTCATCTCTCCTCCAGCATGCACTGCGTGGCGCAGGTGTTGCCTGTTATAATTAGCTGCGAATTACAGACCAGACATGAGCCGCAGAACATAGCACCACAGACAGAGGTAATTTCCATCACACGGCACAGTGCGACGCATCCGACAACTAGAAGATAGCGCTGAATAGCACAGCTGGAAGAGTTGCAAAATATCTGAGTGGACAGTGTAGTCTGAACAAAATGTAGTAGTTAGCCTACAGCTACAGACCTGTGTAGAAGTTAAAGCCTCTATTTACCCCTTGAGTCTACAGAGCTAAAAGACGCTTTCAGAAGAAAACCTTATTACTAATCACTCCCGAGGAAAAATGCAAAACAAATTAGGCTAAATGTACAAAGTCTGAGTGTCATCTAGATTGTAATTTCAATTTGAGCCTGCTGCAGTAGGCTGTGCAGTATTTTAGTCCAGTGATTGACTGAGAAGAAGGTAATTTCACTACTCATTTGTTGCAGTACGTTGTGTAGTTGCCCCACTAAGCCTCATATGCCCAAATAATGGCGCACTTCCAAGCTGAGAGGCAGATTGCACATTTCCCTGTCAGGTGATAAGGAGGTCGAGAGTTTACAGGTTTATTATTAAATATTATTCTCTGCTTCCATGTTATCGCCTCTGGATCCAGTTCATATGGCTTTTGCGGGCTGCCTTCCCAAACTTTATTTGGTTCGTTAGAAACTGGTGAAAAATAATCGTCTTCAGTTTTCTTTCTCCAGGCCGTGGGAAGCAGACAGTCTTTTGGCTGCTGGGTCAAAATCTGTCTCAAACCTTCCGACAACAGTAAACCATCCTCACCATCACCCCATTGATTTTACTGCTGCCAGTCCAGACGCCGGATAGTTTCGCAGCAGCGCTTCACTGAACAGAGAGGAGGCGGTTTTTACGCACATTGTCGAGCGCACGCAAAGGACGCTTCACCTGTCGGTAAAGATGTAAATATGAACTGTAATACATTTTCGCCACCACAAGGATTCAGTGTGTGCATTTGTGCCCGTGTATGCGCTGACTCGGAGCTGGCACCCTCTCACCCCACGTCGCGCCAATATTCAAATTGGGATCCTGCGATTTGAATAGGAGCTTAATGAGATGTGGTGGTGTATATTAAATGAAGGGGGGTGAGGTACCTCATGAAGCTGAAATCCTGCTGCAGATTTAGTGGAGTTATTTAAGAAATGTGTTTTACATTTGAACATAGATGTGTAGGTGAATGTCTGTGCTGGTGTCTGCAGGTCACTGTGAAGATCCAATATATTATCTGACAGGAGACACTTTTCTTTCTTCACAGTGGAAGGCAGTTTGGATGCTTGCATGAAGAGGGAGCACCAGCTCTCCATCACCTTCTGGGGTCAGAGCACTTGTCACATATACTGCAGAGACTTTTACAGAAGGCTCTTTTGTGTTGCACAATAATTCAGACAACTGAGTAAAGACTGCACTTTCTCTCGGGGTGTGAGCACTGGAACCAGAATTTGTGACTATACAAAGATGTAGAAGTCTGGCTCTGCATGCTTCAATTAACGAAAAACTACAGTTGTTGAGGGTTTTTTTTCTAAATTAAAATAATATCTCTAGAAAATTAGCTCTGCACCATGTTACATCTTACAGACCCAAATAACCCAAGCATTTTATTTTTTCCAGTTGTTGAATTCCCTCAGCCGTGAATTGTAGCTCAGGGGTGGTCACAGTTCACTGTTGTGTGCAGCCTCTAGTGTATTTTCCCATGTTGCTGCAGTTCCTTAAGAGAAAGTAAAACTAGATCTTTTTCTTCCTGTAGACATCAGTGTCTCAAGTACTGAACCTGTTCAGCTTCTGCTTATTGCTGCCAACCAAAAGCCAGTTTTACACTGTGTAAGACAAACCCCATACAGAGTCCTTTCATCCTCTTGGAACCAACAGGAGCACATGGGGCAATAATCAGCCAATAATCCAAGTTCTACCAAAAACTAACAGATCAATTATCTGTAATTATAAGGTTTTACTGACATTCTCTGGTCTGGAAGTAGATTTTCATCCCCTCATTATGTGGCTCTCCCTGCATGAATGACCCGTCCTATTTGTTAGAAATGAACTTTGCTATGGACTTTTAGTTGCCTGAGAAGCCGTGCTGGCCTGTGCTCGTGAATAGTGGTAATGAAAGACGGTGGCAAACTCTCTCTGACTCCAACACTTGTATTTATTGCTGTAGCTGATTTAAACATTGAGGTGGGTGCTCCAGAAAAAAATACAGAACATTTGAATTTAATTTAAAATGTAAGATATATTTGAATGTAAGATATTCTGAGGATTGGTGTTATAAAAAAATTAGATTAATAAAAGACAGTTGGATATTTTTGAGTTGTTGATGAAGGTTGAAGTTGGCTACACACCATAACAAATTCAATAAAAATGTTTTTTGATATATCTGTATTTTTATAACAGGATCTTTTCTACTGATAAACTATATTTAGGTTTTTTTAAAACTACATTTTTAAATAAAATTGCAATTAAATTTCATGGGGGGCATTATGAATGAACTGTAAATAGTTAATTACACTAATGTTGATAGGTTTTAGTGTTAATGAACAATATAATGATGGCTCTAATTTACAAACTGTTATTAACATCATAAACTGTAAATAACAGTTTGTAAATTATATATAAACATGATCTGGAAGTTGATCTGGACGTAATTCTTCTCATAATGAACCTATAAGAAGGCAGGTTGGTTGGTGGAAATAACAGGATTGTTAAAGAGTCTGAGCTTTGTGTCCTGCTTTATTCACTCATTTATTTATTTATTTATTTATTTATTTATTTATTTATTTATTTATTTATTTATTTATTCATTAACTTGTCTGTGTCTATGTTCCCTTTCCTGGCTGCTTGATGAAGTTTAGGAACCTAAAATAATTGCTTAGGTTTACGCAAAGGTCGAGGTTTGGGGTCTGGAGTGAGACCAGCCTAACTGTTGCCTCCGCACATGTTTCACTCACGGATTTGCACTAAAGCAGCCAGGCTTGTGCGTCACTCTGACCCGCCTGCAGCAACTCATTGCTGGCTAAACAGCCATATTTGACGTCCTGTGCATGAAAACTAACGAGAAATTAAACCTTTACTTCAAGATGCCTCTTATCGACTATGAGACCACAATTCTATACAATCCATAATAATCTATAATCAAATTTTGTAATACTCAAATCAAATAATAAATCGATCACGATACTA